TAGGAATGGTTTCAGAGCGAGAGGTTTGGAGGGTGTCCYTGACACCACTGTGTCTCCCAGCTGCCCACTGATAACAGGTAGCTTTGTTTGCTCTGCAGTGAATATTCTTTTAAAGTCTTCTTAAAGTGTGAAATAATCACCCTAACAATGCTAGTGTCTTTTAATGCCTGCTCTGTCCCAGGCCAGGCACTAGACACTTCGGGATTCACCATCTCCTTTGATCCCCAGCAGAGCTACTGAAGTATGTGTCTGATTCCTGCGCTGGTGCCCAGAGCACAGCCAGGTCAAAGTGGCCCAGGTGAGGGCAGGAGGAGTCAGTCAGCAGCTCCACCCACTGACCCGCCTGGAAGGCAGAGGCTCTGGAAGCCCTTGGTGTGGTCTGCGGGAGTCCACTCCTGGAGCAGAGTGGACAGGTGAGGGAAGGCAACGTGGAGGTGTGACAGAAGAGACCCGTGGGGGCTGCCTGCCGGGACCCTTTCCAGCCCTCAAAGTGCCTTGGAGAACAAAGAAAAGGGATGCACTATGCTTCTCGCTCATGTTGAGGTGACTCTTCTTTTAGGTGCTGACTTCTTTAAGTCAGGTCTGGGCAGGAGTAGCACCTAGAGGGGCTGTGCAGCCCAAGACAGTCTCAGGAGATGAGATGCCAAGACCACGAGTCAACTACCACACAGTTAGTGAATCCCACGTGGTCCCAACATGGCTTGTGGCACCCAGAACCATGACAAGCAGAATGATCCTGCTCTCGCGGAGCGTGCATTTGCAGGACAGATGGACCATGAGCAAACAATCTCCATGCACCTATGATAATACGAAATGAGAGGAAAACAGGAGACTTGGAGGCCAGGGAGGGACGGCAGCCTCTGGTTGGACAGGGTGGCCCAGGGTGCAGGGGAGGGTGCCACAGGAGATGCAGCTTCCTGTCCTGTAGCACCGGCATAGCTAGGGTTGGAATTAGTGGTATCTASTTGTACCAAACTAGGTGGTAGAGAAGATTTTGCATGTTTTTAGCACATAGAAATTGTAAGGGTTCGAGGTGAGGGAAAAGCCGATCACCTGATCT